AAACGTTGTGTTCCTGGTCGTTGCATGCCACATCTTTATTTTAGATTTTTATCAGAATTTTAGAAGAAAAAAAAATCCATTTTTCTTGAAAAATCTAAATAAAAGCATGATTTCTATAGTAGTTTTAGCATAAAAAATGTTTGCATTGATTTTCAAATCAAATTTATCAGCACTATTCATATTATATTCTGGGCCTTTATAGATGCATCTATTTTATATTTGGTTTAAATAGTTAAACTGATCTGATCGAATCTATAACACTGTGATGTTTCTTGAGCAACTTAAAATAGCTTAATGCTTTTATTAGTCCCCGTTCGGATGAAGTCCGAAAACGGGAACTTATAATTCGGTTTCCGTCTGTCCAACGTCATATTTCAGAATCCTGTGGACCGATTCCGTTCATTCTTTGCATGTGCCTAGTACCTTATGTGGGACATATGCACATGCAGTGGTTTAGCGATTCGATTCAAAATGGCCAACTGGCAGCCATCTTGCTTTTTGAAAATGTTGTATTTTGGACATGCTTTGTCAGTTGTCATTCAAACTTGGTACATAGATTATACATGTCCATGACGATTTATTTCGCAATGGATCAAAGATGGTCGACTGGCAGGCATCTTGTTTTTGTTTTTTTATGCGGTATCTTTGACGTGCTCTGTCAGTTTTCATTCAAATTTGGCACATACATGTACTAGTACTTTATACATGTTAGGATGCATGTCCACGACAATTTGTTTCAAAATCTGGTCAAGGATGGCCGATTGACAGCCATCTGACTTTTTGGCCTTACTACTATATTTCCACAATTTATGTACAATTTTCATTTGTATTTGGCACATACATCATACATATCAGTGTGTTTCATAATCAGATCAAAGATGGCCGAATAATGGCTGTTTTTATTTTTGGCCATATTACGACTACACGGAACACATGTTTTGATGTAAATAAACAATCTGTTGTATACGCCACTTGGAACTCAAGTTTCAAGGACACGCTCGCGACAACCCCTCCACTTTAATATGAAGAGCACAAAGAGAACTTAACGGGGACTGTGTCATTTTCAATGACTTGTTGTTAAGTAGATTTTCACTATTTTATTCTTAGACAAAATTTCATATTATGTTTCATTTATGTTCAAAGAGAGATACTTCATTAGATATGCATGTTACTTTATATGGATATATATCAATGCAATAAAAAATTCAATCCAAGAAATATGATTCATTATTTTATGGGAAAGATCACTACTCTGGGGGTCAATTGGTATCGGGTGACTATAGAAAGGAGTGATGTGAGAAAATCGAAGACTACTCATTAAAAGGAGAAGAATATCTGCTCAAAATTCTAACTTCTGTATAAATTCAAAAAAATATGTAAAAGCAATAACTTACCAGCGCGCCCTCACCGCTCACAATAGTGACCTTTTGTTTTTACGAATGAGGGCCGTATCGAAAATGGCCGCTCGCAGTGAAAATGCGTGTCCAAATCGTATCCCCCCAGAAGCAGTAAGAAGACTTGCTATAGATGGCTTAACTTATCCCGTAGTGTTTAAGTCTATGATAGATGACTGGCCGTCAGTAAAATGGACAAATGAAAGTCTTGCTGAAATATTACTTGACCAGACGGTAAAGTTTCGGATTGGGACCCGGAAGTGGGCTGACGAAAAAGGTGATCTTTATATTATTGAACAATTTGCGTCCGCGATTTATGAATGGATATTCACTCAACCATCCATGGTAGCGTTGTAAGAGTGATTGTATTCATTGAAAATTTTGTATAATTTCATTTTCAGCCTGTCGTTACCATGGAAATTCAGTTCTTGATATTAGGGTTAAAATTTTCTGATTTAACATATTAAATTATCAAAACATTGTACGTATGCATGGAAATGGAAAGGTTGGAAAAGTTTTGCAGGATTGTACTCTGTATTAGCTTGTTAATACGAATACTCGCATACAATTAACTATTTTTCTGTCAGTCACCTCATCTGCTATTTTCCTTGGCTCTTCCAACAGCCAGAGTTTTTTAAAAATATACAAAAAATTGTAATTTTTTAACTCGACTGCAAGTTGTTAATTAAGGAACAATTTTCAATTTTTTTTCTGTGGGATGTCACCGTACTGTGATGATTACTCCTATCCAATAATCGGTCTTAGAAAATTGTTTTTTATACCCCCAATATTTGAACAGAAATTGAACTGCATTGGCAGGTTGTTGAAAATTAATGTCATCTAATACCACTTTACCATGTCATTAAGTTACTCAAAATACATCACAAGTTCTGACCTGCCAAATTCAAATTACCAAATTTTACCAGCTTGCCTGATCACAGTACTGCATTGCCACCTTCAAATATAGATTGTCAGAAGATGTAATTACCGACAGGGATTTATTTAAACAAGGGAACATGCCATGGCCATGCCCCCCCCCCTACCCTGGGGAGCAGATCCTCTGGCAACCATAAAATTCTGATTGACCAGAGATCACATGTTGCCACAGTCTTCAACTGTGACCTGTCTGATAGTAATTTTGGCCCCAAGGAAGCCATAGAATGCTCCATTTTAACTTAGAATTATCAAAAACTCCCCCACTTAGTTGCGTCGCTGAATTGCAGTGCTTCCTCTTGCATTTCTTTTCTAGAAAAACCCCTGACCGGTATATTAAAATGAAAAAGATATCCACCAATTTGATTTGCTAGCTTCTTTAGGAATTCTTTCGTTAATAAGTGTACAGTATATATTTGTATGGCTGTTTTAGGAGTGCTATGGGAGAGAGACTGTATGTACAGAAATGCTACACTTTACTGTTATAATGAGTGGCTTAACAAGGACAGTGAACAACTTTCAGAAGACAATCCTCTAAAGGAGTTCCCCTCCACTGATTATTGGTGTTATGCTGATTATAAATATATGGCACATGTATTCCAAGACAGGACAGATATTTTGAAGGTGAGGTATCAATGTTGGTACATGTATATGATGGCTTTCATGGGTCAATCAATCAATGTGAAGTCTGACCAACAAACAGCTTAGGCGATCCCTGTTTTGTTTATTTCATCATTATGCTAAAATGAATCTCTGATTTAAAAATGATTTCAGAATGCCACCATAAGCAGATAGCATTCTATGATTTCTGTTATGTTATACTAGCTTAGATTAATTTTGAAGAAGTTGAAATTTACAAATGACGTATTGAAAGTATTTTGTACATGTGATGGATTGGTTTGGATAATTTAAAAAAAATGAATCAAAAAGTATTATAACTGTTATGAACACAAATAATATAAACTGGTATTCTTTATTGACTGGAATGGGCTTTTGCAGCCCAAGGTGCGACAGGAGCGTGTACGCCATACGACCGAGGGCAACAAGAGCCATATTCAGTCCATAAAGGTTTTATCATAAACCTTATAATTAATAATTAATATTGTACTTACAATTTTACCATGGCGTGACCTCAAACACACGACATAATTTAGAATGACGTGTGTCATCTTGATCAATGCGAAAACCATGTGCGCTGGGCCAGGCGTGATAGAGGAAATGTTTGCTCTGATGTGAGGGCGTATTTTCGATAGCGTTACGAGGACGGGGAATTCAAGGTATATGATAAAGCTGTAAATATTATTTTTATGCATTTGTTTAACAAAACTACTTTTAGCAATTTATTACCTGAAAAGATAGAATATCTATACGTAATAGTTTAGGCCAAATAAAAAAAATTATCAACATTATCATGTGAAAATTTGTCTAGCATGAAAGAGAAAGTGAGCATCTTCCAGTGAT